GGGCACCGGACCGCACCCCGTCCGGTCCGGTCCGGACCGGCTCTGTCCGGTCCGGGGGGAGGGTGCCAGACCCGACGAACCGGACCGGACCGGACGCTCGTCTGATCCACACGCTTGCAAGTATGCAACTTACCCTCGACATCCCTAAACGCACCCCCCCTCTCTCCAAACCTCACCTCCTCCTTCATCGGCTGTCAAGCAACTCGGCCGTCTGTGGTTAACAACTATTCAACCATCCCAAGGCCGAACGATGAAGATAACAGAACCGCAGCTAGGATTACCATCACAGCAAACCAAACCACGTCACGAGACTAAACCGCTGAGCCCGCCAGCTGCCCCTCGCAGGTAGCCCAAAGAGATGAAGGGGTGTCATCGTCGCAGACGTCGCCCGCCTATAGAAAACCTGTCTTCAACATCCTTACCCCCACACTCGTCCTCCCTTCCTTCTTGTAATACTCTCCTTCTAGCCCATGAACCCTCCTTTCTCCCCCCCATGACATTCCTCCTCTCCAACGAGACCATGATATGAGATATTCGGTAACGCCCGGACACCACTAGCCTGCTCCTCCATTCCCCACGATCCCTCTCCCGCCTCATCATCCTGCTGTCCTCTCACCCGGTACTCTCATCCTTGCGTCATGCCGTCATAGCGCCCACAGCTCTTCGTTTCCAAATTTCGCCAAGGAGCCTGCCATCGCGTCAAACCCTCTAGAAAGAATCCCTGTTCCCCCGCTCTGTCACCTGATGCATTGGGCCGTTTTTGAGTGAATTCTTGGAAAACGATACAGTAGCCTCTGAAGGGGGTGTTTTTTTAAAAAAAAAAAAAAAAAAAAAAAAAAGCCTCAGGTTAAACCACCAGTACCTCCACGTTTTTAACGTGGTGGCTGAACTCGTGCGCCCCGTGGGTCCATATGCATTTGTATCAGAGCCTCCCCAGAGGGTGCCTAAGGCTTGGATCCCACAATCTTTAGTAGGGGTACCTTTCGTAAAAAAAAGGAATCCCACACGTTTCCGCGGTGAGCGGACGGGGAAAATAATTCAGCTGTTTCTTCTCTGGGCCTCCTTCGTGGCAGCTCGGGAGAGAGTAGTGGCTGGTTTCGTGAACTGATTTCCAAAAGCTCCCTACCCCTACCCCCTCCCCCTGAAAGTAGGTGCCTGTACAAAATTGGGTTTTCCCTTTCTTCTGTTGTACGCTCGTGGTCGTTGGCCGTTGGATGTCCGTAGATGGCGTTGGGACGGAGTGCACGTTGGCAAAATTTGTGGAGAAGTGCCTTCCCCGTCGGGCCCATGGGATCCAAATTCGTTCTTACGGACCTGTTGGCGCGGCGCGACACAACTTTCAGGGTGCAACTTCAACTTTCAGGGTGCGACTTTTTCTTCCAAACGCACTGTGGGATCCAAGCCTAAGGCCCCCTGGGGTACTGGTGGTTTAAGAACCCCAGAATCAGCACCCTATCGCTGAGAACAGAGGAGAACTCCCATTTTCAGTGATTGTAGAGAATTCTTCAGTGTATGGAGGCAGAATTCCCGAAAGGGGGAAAAGGTAGAAACTGCTGTGGAGCCCCAAATTCTCCGAGGAACTTTCCCGAAGAACCCCAGTGGAACACAACCCCCCCCACAAAAAAAGAAAAATAAATAAATAAATAAATAAAAAATTCCTCAATCCTCAACAGGCCGAACGACTGCATCTAGCCGCTCATTTTGCTATTTTGTGATTTTGAGCGCCTGGTGTGAGTATACTCTTCGTGGAGCACAGTGATAATGCCTGCCACTTGGCTACAACGTGTTTCTTAAACGTGTTTAGTATCTGCCCCTGCGTTGTTTTTACGCGTATATACGCATACGTCACAAATCATGGCAGAGAGCTCCACTATACGTGGGCATGGCGTCGAGGAATCCCCTTAATTTTCTTTTTTTCTCTCCAATGTCTTCATTTGGAGCATCCGCACACTCGGATTAAAACTTTCTTGCATGCATCAGACATGGAATCAAGGCGAGATTCAGGGCATACTCACACGGGGACCTATAATCCCAAAATCCCCCCAAAAAGGGGAAAAGGCCGGTCACACGGATCTACCAAATTCGCAAATGTACTATTCCAGTGCCCATTTGTCAGCGGCCTTGGGAAGCCGCGGGGCAAGGGATTTTGCGGTCACCTCTGGAGGTGACCGCAAATTCCCTTTTTTTTTTTTCTGCATTTTCTTCAAAAATTGGCAAAACTTCGTTCACAAAAGTTCTTGCACAATTGGTGGATGGCGCGGTGTGACCAGCCAAGTACCAAATCCCCATTTCTCCAGACGGCCGCGACCTTGTCCCATCTGAAAAGGTACAGCAGTGTGAGACGTGAACCATACCCAAAACCTCAAATCGGCCCTTCCCAAATCCGCATATTTTTGCGGATTTGGGTTCGCCGTGTAAGTATGCCCTCAGTCGAAGAGAGGTAGTTTCAACTAGGAACTTAGGAAGTAGCTGTCACCCCTCCTTCCCCCTCTCTCCTCTCTTCACTCTTTTCCCCCTCGCGACTGTGTAACCGCGGCTGCGGGACACACACACGCGCTACCAAAATAACGCTGGGGGTTGGAGCTCGGCCCCGACTTTATTTATTTATCTTGAGTAGCGGTTGCATTTTTGGCATTTTCTGTCTTTGCGATAATGTGCATCTGCCTCTTCTGCTACGTGGTCCCAGATTGCAGGCTTGATTCAATTACCGCAGAAGCGGAAAGGGTCCTTGCTGTCCTTCGCCAGATTCTGAACGAATCGGGTGCGTACTCACGTCCCGCGCTGGGCTCTGCATGCATCCATGCAATTGCAGCATGCAACGTACGTGAGATCGAGTTACAATCGTGTTGAGCAGGTGAGGTTCTTCCAGCCCATCCTTCTTCATCTCTCTCATTTCGCTCGCCCACCACAGGAATGGGGCAGAGAGAAGTCCTTCCCTCCTTCCCTCCTTCCTTCTCCCATTCATACTCCTCACAGTTCTCTCTGCCCCATCTTCTCTCACAGTTTGAACTTCTCTCTGCTTCATCCTCTCTCCCATATATCCACATGGATACGGAAGTAGGTGCATGCATGCATGCATGCGTGCGCGCGCGCGCGCGCGCGCGTGTGTGTGTGTGTGTCTTGGGAGGTTTATGAACGTCATGAAAAAGAAGATTTTTCAAGTGAGGTGATATTTAATCCGATATCGAAAATGGGCTTAACTCAGTTGGTACACCCATGATCTGCTGAAATACAGACCCGAGTTCAAATCGAGATGCAACAAGATGAGCAGAATAAAATCCGACGGCGAATCTGCAATCGCAAAAGGCTTCCGATTGGTGCAAATTCCCACAGTTGTCCCCTCTCTCTCTCTCTCTCTCTCTCTCTCTCTCTCTCTCTCTCTCTCTCTCTCTCTCTCTCTCTCTCTCTCTATGTGTGTGTGTGTGTATCT